ATCTCAGGTACTACAGAAACGTGGAGTTCCACTTTTTTAGAGCAAGAAAGTTACCAGTAATCTGATATGGTGGAACAATTCCGCTTGCTCTGGTTTGAGCCAACCGTTAAGTGCAGATTGATTCATTGCAAAAAAAATGGCCCTTGTGAAATAATCTGCGTGCGTTTTTAGGGATAGACTGCCTCTCTCAGGGCTGATATTGCTTATGAACATTTTAAATTGCTACCAGCTGTTCATAGCGAGCACATTTGTGTCTCACTTGCACGTATTCATAAAGGTTTGCRGAAAGCTGCCCCATTTGCCCTGTTATTTGCCATGACTCTCCTGCTTAAGGATCTCTCCCATCACCCATTTGCAGAGGAGAAACTTCATGTAAGAGAGGCTATGAACAGTCGTCAGCAAGTTAGCACATGTTAAAAAGTTACCAGCCAGACTTAGCAGGGATGTCTGACCACGTTCAAGCTCCTAAACCCATGCAAATTTTAGAGGAGAGAAAACATTTAAACAAGCCCATTCAAGTAGTCAACCACCCAAAACATGCAGCAAATAACACTGAAGAACTACCACTACTATAAAGCCAATATAGTCAGTCTCAGCACTCAAACCAGAAGGAGTTTATAAAATACTGGGCAAGAGGCTAATAGTTTGTCAGGCAGAGCAGCAGACACAACTCACAGGACAAGTGGCTGCCTTTGCAATAGCTGGCATGGGGGCATTCCTCACTGCAAATCTGCAAAGGGAGTTTTTTACTTAGAAGCTCATAAAAATCTTCTGGCACTCAGTTTGACTCTGGCAAGTTCACCACCAGTTATAAAAATAATACATATTCACTAAGAATGAAGGAAAGAAATCACTTTCTCTGGCTTCACTGCCACTGATGTGCTTTAAATCCTGAAGTCATTCTGTATTTCGCAGACAGCAGTGCATGAATTTTACGTGTCCCCCAAATAAACTCTGAACTATATAATTATTGCAGATGGACAGGGTAAATTTGGCCTCCGATTTGCTTTTTGGATGTAGCTTTCAGGTTACAGAGTCTGGTATTGCTTGCAGGTCGCAGGGGAGACGCAGTGGCGATTTGGCATGGAGACCTCTTCCAGCTCTAGCACGAGGCAGGACAACAGATTAAAGGGGTTTTTTTTTTTTCCCCTCAGTCACCTCGAGACATTTGTAAAGCATCTGTCTCCATTTAAGAAGCTGTGCTTCCACTAGAGCTGCTGCTTTTCATTTCTGTTTCCACTACAATGGTGACACAAACGTCTTGGTCAGAGAAAATAAGCTTGGGAAGGGAAAAGAAAAAAAAGAAAGCAGGAGCTAAGAGGAAAAGAAGAGCAGATAATGATGCCCTAGCCCYGCTCAAACGGCTCCAGAAGCAGTTGGAACACCGCAGGACCAACATAACAGCTACTTCCCATCAAACAGTTACTTCACACGTGTGTTTTTYAGTGACCACTTTAGAACTAACTGAGGCTTTCTTCTTTTCAGAAGGAGCATTTCATTTTTACAGGAGGAAAAAAACAYGGACAAAAAGAATATCTTTTCTAAAGAGCCTGTTCAGAACCAATTTGACTTGAGTACCTTTTTTGTTGGGAAAGTATGGGTTAATAATAGGGTAGAAACAAATTCTGTATCAGTAACATCAGATATATACCTATATATTAGCATAATTCAAATCTAATGAATTAGAAAAGACCCACACCACATTAGAAATAAAATGAGGAGCAATAAAAGCCTTAAAGATTTCTTTCTAAATACTTAGGAGTAAGATATAAGCATCGTAGACAAAAAGCACAAATGCACTGATTTACAAAGCCTCAGTCACAAAACCCGTCCAACTAGAACAGTCAGCTACACTTTAACTCCACAGCAAAGTGCCTATGGACATAAGCGCTAATAACTAGGACTAACTGCCCATTTTTACTTAGTTTTGCTCCTGAAAGCTATTTTTACAGTTTATATTACACCTACGCACGCCCATACTTACACATTGGGGATTTTCACAAGTCAAAATGTGGAAATAAAGGTGCATACTGACATGTTCTGGGTCTCTGTGGTAAGGACAGCATCAAGGCAAGCAGTAAAGGGAAAAAGTTAGAGAGCTGTGGGGTTCCCTTTTATTTCTAGACCTGTCTTTTGCACATCACCCTCCAGCAGCTCGGCAAAGCGAAAGGCTTAGGACAATCACAGCGATCCGTTTTCCTCTCAAACATCCCCACATTATTTACAGCTCTCTTGAAAATTACCAGGTTGAAATCATCAGGGTTTCCCAAAAGTTAAAGCATGTAAATAAAGTGTGAATAAAAGGTACCAACTGGATAAAAAGAAAAAGAAATACTAAAACAACCCAGTCCCAAAAGAATAAAGCTATGGCTGTATGCATTAAAGAAAGCAAGATTTATCTTTACCTTTGCACATAAAGAGCGAGAATCTAGAAATTAAGCAACAGTATCAGAGCAAAGAGGTGTCAAGATCTTACAATAAAAATTCCCACTGAAGTGGCAGCCAAGCAGAATCAAAGATCCCAGGAAATACTTTTTTCTGTGAACTGGAAGTGACACTGCATCTCTTGTCCACTAATAAGACACAGCATAATCTAAAACAACTTCTGTGAACACAAGACAGCATCCTTTGACAAAACTTCAGCCTTTTGAATAATTATTTGCAAGCTCAGCAGGCTCCAAATATGTTTAATTAAATTTTAAAAAGTACTCGCAGCCTGTAAGCTTAGCCCCGAGTAGAAAACTGCAGCAAGATCTCCTTCTTTCAGAGGCTTTTTAAACTGTGCCAAAACTATTAGTTGAAAGAAAAATCTATATAAAGCCATTATTAAAAAAATGCTACATCACAGGATGGCTGGAACAGCTAAGGAAATGGTCAGGGAGGAAGGATTATTTCCTGGCACAGTAATGTAGCAAGAAGTGTGTTCTCTCACCCTTTTAATTTTTTTTTTTTAAGCTTTAACAATGTTGCGCAAAAAATAAAGCTGAGTTCAGCTCATCTGCTGAGCAGATGATCAGTGCTCATCGGCAACAGGCATTGTTTCTAGACATGCTCCCAAAGGCAAATCCAGCAAAAGCATATTTAGGAAGAAACTGCAGGCCACCTTCAGCTCCTGTTTACCTCGTGCCACCTCACCAAACCCTATGCTCCACTATGCAGGGGCAAGGAACAACTGCACTGAAGGCAACCAAGTTAACCACGTAAGCAAGATCACTATCGGCCTACCTAAGCGCGACTGCGCTAGAGCAGAGCCAGGCTGTGTGTGTAATTTAAATCACTGTCCTGATTTTGGATAAGCCCCAGACATTGCAAATAATTACAGCGCAGCCAGAAACAATGCTCGGTATCAGGTACAGCAGTTTTGTGCACTGCTTGTCTAAAGCGATGAAGCTTCTCCAGCCATCAGCTTCACTAACGCCTTGGTCCCACGACTCTTGCTAATGCTAAAATCTGGTGTGAGTATTTTGGCTTACATGCAAATACTCGAGCACTACATGATCTCTCTGGCACATTGCAGCTCACTAGATGGAAACTTATTCACTGCAAGAGGAGACTTTTGAGTAGATAAAACAAAGTTCCCAGCTACAGTATGATTAAAGCTCTAGACTGTGCAGTATCTGCTCTTGAGATTCCCCTTGAAACTTAGTGCCAAAGCTAAGTAATTTTGAAATGAAAATTTCACTCAGGATAGAAACCTGACAGGAAAGCAAGAAGCACAGTGGAATCCACAGCTTCTCAGACCCTTGGAGAGATGTGAATTCAAATCAGCTGGTTCATCCCAAAGAAGATGTAGTGGGGTTTTCTGTACTTAAAACACTTCAGGCTGTTAATCACCAATACAGGCTGCTCAGGCAATTTTAAGACTCTGGAAGTTTAAACAAAAATAGCAGCCATTGAAGTAGCAAGATCCTTGATGATGAAAAAAACACTGTGACTGGCATCCATCCACCAAGATGTAAAAATAAAAACACTTTCCAAGTTGTACATCAAAGTCTTTTCACTGTTAACCATATCCATTGTGTTTGAGGTGGTCTTCCTTGTTTCCCCACCACTACAAGAACTGCTTCGAGCACGAAAAAGTTGATGCTCTCACTTTGGTGAAACGAGAGTGATTGTGAGAGAAGGCAGCAGCTGTTGCCCTTGAACAAGAGGGCTGAGGCAAAGAACAAGCCCTAAATGCACCCTCCAAAGTCACTGAAAGCAAAGCAGGAGTTTTAAGCCCATCCACTAGGCTAGAATAACAGTAGTCAGTCTAACGTCTATCGCCAAACCTGAAGACTTAATTCTTTGTGCCTTTTGGAAAACCCCTGCAATTAGTTTCTCTCAGGTCAGCAAGAGGAGTCAGCTCATGGAAAAATTCTAGTCAGCAGATTTGAAGCAAAGAAGGGTGCGAGACTGCACAAACTGGACCTAGGGAGCAGGGACCCGTGCAAGACACCTCTCTCAGTAACAGTGAAATATTACAGCAGCTCAACAGGCTCTGGAAACACAGCCTGCAACAGAAATGCTACATTTGCACCTCATGACAATTTGGTATGGCGTAGCAGGTATCTTTGCAACGTAACTGCTTGTGGGCATGGTTTTATACAACCCGTGGGTCGTTGTTGGAGAGGAGCATCCAGTGCCAGAGAGTTTGTCCAATGCAAAACTTAAAACACACAAACAACAAAAAACAAACAACAGAAACAGGTTTACAGAGCAAAAATACAGATAAATTTAGTAAAAATAGGACATTGCTAATATCACTTGTCCTTATTTATGCTTATGGTTCTAGCAACTAATTCAAATGAAATCTTAAGAGGTAAATAAAAAGTTTACTTCTAAAAGAAGTCCACCTAAGCAGACAGTTCTAATGGATGCTTGTAGTGCATCTACCAGCCACAATTGGTGCCTTTAGATGCACGAGTGTCACTGGATTCTCTCTTCASCTGTTTTCATCAGGAGGAGATCAGATGCAAGCAGCAATGTTTGTTCTACGCGCTGCGTAGACATAAACTCACCCGGTCCGAGAACCGCAAGATTGTAACCGCACTTCCACTTGGATTTACGATACATAATCGAGAGGGGCGCTCGCAGCGAGCAAGAGACCTGCCGATGACGGTGCTGTCAACAACGGTTCAGATCAGTTAGCTGCTAGTGGAGACACGACAACAATTTTCAACGCTGTGAGAAAAAGCAAGAGCAAGACCAGATGGTTAAGTCCCATCCACATTAGCACCACATGGCTAGCAGCACCAATTGAGAATTGTCCGCTGGGGAAGCTACCTGTTGGCCACAGCCACTCTAACCAGTTGTTTCTCAGAGATTCAGCGCTGGCTTGGTGTCTAGTAGAAAAAACACACTCTGTGAAAAGCAATTTTTCAGTTAATAGCATGTCTTTCAAAACAGCATATGCCTGTGTGCAATCAATGTTTCTAGTGCAGAGCAGATCGAGTACCGGGTTGTCTGAAATGATTCAGCGAGTTACCAGTCAGGCCATTTCATCATCATGTTCTGCTGAAACTGGGAAACTCTGCTCTGTAATTATCCAAGGTAAGCGTAAGTTTTACGTTTACACAAGAGAGACAACTGCAGGTAAGAACTGCCAGCAGACGCCCTGGCGTGATGCTGTTTGAGATCACACAAAAAGGGATGAAACAGTCGGATTTAACTTGAAACTCCTATGAGTACGAGGGAAAAGGGGTAGAGGACTGGCTTGGACCAGAAGGCCTCCAGAGGTCCTTTCCCAACTGTGTTATTCTACAATTTCATTGACAAACTGACACTTMATCATCCATATTCTTCACTTCGGGGTGGGTTTGTTTTCTTTATATTCACTCTTCTATTTAACCTTAGTATTTTATTACGCTCTGCTAGGTAACAAAAGGTCTATTCATCAGCAAAAGGAAATTTTGATTAGTGTCCCCATTAAGAGTTAATATTTAGTTTATATGAAGGATGTGTGAAAATTCAGCATGAAAATAACCATGGCACTGCAAGAAATTTTAAATTCTGCCTCAGTTTCAAAAGCAATCTTGAAATAGCCTTTTATTCCATCTTACCAGGTCCAGTCATCTCCTCTAAATTTTTTCCATAAGGTAATTACACTATCACAGTTTTTACCAAGGTAAAAATTATCCAAACACTCTTGGGAACCATAAATAACATAGTTTGTCTACTAACATCAATACAAGACACTTTCAAAGCAAGCTGCTGTAACAAAACTTTTTGTTGAGATATATATTCTTGCAAACTAGTCATTTGAGAAGGCATCTCCTAGCACTGTGGGGCAAATAAGCTGCAGAAATGGAACAGGCCACAGTTGACTTCAGCACACAGGTAGTAAGTACAGATGAGAAGACAAAAGTAAGATGGAAAAACACAGTTTCTGAATCTTTAGGATGCTCTGCAAATATTAAGCAAAAGTCATGTTTCCAGAGATGAACCATCATTCTTAAAGTTAATTAAATCTGAACTATCCCTGAGACTGGACAACTGAATTTGGATGTAAAGATGTGTTCAATTCKTAGGCATAAAGGTCGAGTCAAGCAAAAAGCCCTTGGTGCCCAGGGTAAGCCCATAATTAAGGCTAACCAGAAATCCCTACAYAGTTCACTTGGAATAACTACTGCTGATAGTGACTGGGGAAATTCCTGCAATTTTTAAGTCTCTCTGTATCAAGAAACTCCTTTACTCCCCATTTGGGTGCTTCTTCGAAGAGCTGAGCGACTTGACTCCAACATCACCAGCAGAAGGTGACAGTGCAAAACAGAAACCAGACTAGTCTAACATTTAATGAAAAGAGGGGTAGTCCAGCTAGCAAAAAGCGGAGGAGRAGGAGGAAAAACAGGCTCCTTTGAGCACCATGCCCTCCCACAAGAGCACAATGGCAGGGAATCCTGCTCTGTTTCTATGGCTAGGAGCCACCTGGCCTCCAGTCATGCTCACGCACAGCTACCTGGCCCCGCAGGGGGTAAAATAAAAGAGGAGTAGCCAGAATACGAAGGCAGCAGATACAGCTGTGAGGCAGGGATCACCAGCCCTGACTGTACTGCTCTGAACAACCCAGCGTGCGTGAAGGGCTGCTCGAACTATGCCCTGTGCTCTCTCCCCGTCATTTCCTTCCTCTCTTTGTCTACTGTAACTTCTACTTGCGCTCCATTTCTTTCCCTTGCCTTTCCCCCTTCAGAGGTCAAGGTCTTACAGACAGACTTCTGTTTGCACAGTGTACAAGCACTGCAAAAGAGAAGCCGGCTGAATTTTTAGCACTATAAAAAATASAATTAGCTGACCTGGTCTGAAGTATTTATGACAGCCAAGCTTCCCAAAAGGTATTTGATGGACTTGGTCTACAAAACTACCCTTAGTCCCAGCATACGCAGCAGTATGAGAGACAGGAGTTTGCAGACAGAGCAGCACACAATTATCTTCTATAAATTGAGAACCTGGCCACTGTAGGTCTGATCTACAGTTCTCACATAAGCAGACCCTAGCAACACAAATAAAGACTCCCTCAAATCCAAAGGGAAAAGAAATCAAAATAATAGTTTGGATGGAACAGCTCTAAGAAAAATCAATAATGGTAGCTGTAAAATCTAAAATTAAAGTGAGTCTGGTTTTGATGCTTTCAGTACACACAGTACATCAAATTTGGCACAAGCCCAATGGAACATGCAGTACTCGTGGACAATGTCTGCCAAGAGCTAGAAATATAGCACTTAGTCTTTAAAGAACCGAGAAGCCAGACCATTTCTGCTTGGGCATTGGAACAAAAATTAAATCAAGGTGATCTTTCTGAGGGTATATTCGTATCAAGTCTGATGGGCATGCCCTGGGAAATACCGAATTGAGCATGTGTCTGTTGGCAGCAAGCCAACRTTTGTCATCTTATAATCTGTTCCACTTGTGACAAAGGTTACGAGCAGATGCAACACCTCCCCACATTCAAAACCACTCTGCTGGCTTCCTCATCATCAGGCTTGTGTCTCAGAAAAGTTCTGACATGACCAGTCCCTTGGTCACCTTAGGATATACTTTGAAAAAACAGGTGCAATGGAGGAGAGAAACGGAAAATTAGAGCTTATAGAATTCACATTGTGAAACTGAGTGAATAAATTGATAGTGCAGCTTTTTTTTTGGTACTTCATTAGTACCAAAATACCAATATCTGAAAGTACTGGTATTACATACCTTAAAGTAAGGATTAGTAGCTAAACACCACTTTGCATTTCTACAGCAGCCTCCAAAAGTTAGCAAATTAAGTGTCAATGCACCTGGGAGCTCCTTACTCTTAGTAAAATAAGACAGAAAAACAAGCCCAGGACCCAAATGGGGCTACTAATAATTGCTCCTGTGGACTCAGGAAGCCTGAAAAATATCAATACTGGCTACACATGCCCATCAATGACATAAACTCTTCACTTCTCCCCTCAACCGGTCCCTCCTGGCTCTAAGCTAAAAGTAAACCCTTCATCTTCTGGAACAAGCTTCTATCTCTGCTTCTGTTCAGGAACTGCCAACTTACATGAGCTCTTCTCCAGTTACATGGGCAAAAAAATGCAAGAAAAGTGCTTGTAATACTTCCCTCTATATGCACGAATGTCCCCTATTTCCCATTTTATTACAGCATCCTCATGGTCCTAACAGCGACATTTACCAGTCCCTGCTCTGTGTTCCTTAACAGCATTTTCATTTGGTACTGTACATGGCATATGTAGTGCTGACACAGTTGATGTGGGCTACCAGCAGCACAGCAACTACCTTACTGGAAAAGATCAAAGACCTAGTACGATGGTTCCTCCTACCGTAAGGATCAAAAGGGGACAACTGGACCACGAAAGTCAAAGCGGGATGCAGGGATCAACTATCAACTAGCACACACTGCGATAGGACCTGGCTCTGCCGATGCAGTGTGCAGCACAACGTTATAGTGTTGCTCTCCATCTCAGAGATGTGGGGACAGCAGATTGGACCAGAAGTGCCATCCTTACCTGAAATGTCAGCACCACCACCCCAAAATTGCTTAAATAATCACATGAGAAATGAAAAAGAGCAATGAAGACCAAAGGGCCTACTTGGTTGCCTTCTGATTCTCTGCACTACATAGCAGAAAGACTAAAAAAAAGTAATTTTTAAAAAATACTTCTTCATTCACAGACAGCACTAATTTTCAATAAAATCTACTTCCAGTGTAAGAATAAGCCGAAGACATTTTCGGGGTGAAAACAAAGTGAATTACCAAAGGCTTGATTACGAACATGAAAATAGTTGAGAAAAGCAAATACGTTTCCTCTATGTGATGAAATCTTCCCATTTCCATCAGAAGCAAGGTTTTGACATCATTAGCAGCATGTTATATTCTCTTTTCAAAACTCAAACTCAACACAAAGGAGGTATACTTAAGAGAAAAAACACAGCCGACTTGAGATGCTAAGGGTTGAGGCCCTTGTAATCTCCTTTGCTTTACAAATGAAGTTTATAACAATCTTCCATTAGCCATTAAAATACAACAACAATCAAGTACAGCAACTCGAATACATAGATATATGTATTTTCTTCCATTTTAAACATTCCTTGGAGTATTTCAAGTAGTTCAGGGAACAGGCAAACTACAGCCAAACAAACAAAAAAAATACAAGGGGGGAAGGAGCRGAACTGACATATTTTTCGAATTAGCAGTTTATCCCAAGAGGTGCATTACAGAAGGAAAACGAGCAACAAGTTCTTTAAAAGGAAGCAAGTTACTTGATAGTAAAGCCTCCATGTGTAATGCATCTCAGATTTTTCCTCTAACCTCACAACAAATAAATACTTCAACTGCATGAGATGGCAAAAGAAACATTACTTATTTTCCCAGTTGAACTTTGTGAGAAACCACCAGTATTTATTCTTGTAAAAAAATGTGTAGTGAAATGCAACTGCCTCAGATTAGCAGAAGGGATATCAAGAAAGCATCAGACAAATTTGCAGTATACATATGAATACTTAAGAGAAGAGGAGCCTTGAGATTTCTTAGGAGTTCTTCAGAGACTATTTCCATAATTTAACATGAAAAAAAAATCTCAGAATG